AATAAAACTAATAAATAAATATACAACATTGAAAAAAAATTCATATTTGGATCACTGTCTGCATAGATCAAAAATAAACTCCATTTTAAATCTTGTCTTTTTGTAATGCCTCTTTTCCCTTGCTTTGTCACTATTCTAGACCGAGATTGATCTGAAAAATGAGATTTATTTGCTGCAAATTTTCAGATCATTTTTGGTCTGCATATATATAAAATAAGTTGCATTTTAAATATCATTGACGTGAAAAATTATCTTACAATTTTTCAAACCATAGTTGGTCTGGAAATATGGGGGAAATAGTAACTTTGCTACACTTATCTTGAGCAAAATTGGTATGAAACTTACATTTATTATATGTAATTTTATGGACCATTTTTGGTTTAGACATATCCAAAATGCAAAGCACCTGCAATATCATAAATAAATTCAGAAATTATTTTGTCATTTTTCAGACCATTATTAGTCTGGAAATATGAAAAAAAATACTGCTACTTCACCTGTGTTATTTTTTTTCTTTTTCATTGACAATATTTAGACCATAATCAGTTTGAAAATATTTCGCGGGCTTTACCATACTCCCGCCAAAAATTTTCAAACCGTTTAGGGTTTGAATATTGAAACTTGACCATGACTTCGATAACCATCATTATTCAGACCAACTATGGTTCAAATAAAAAAATTTTCGGACCAATGGTAATTGGTCTTAATTATTTCGGTTTGAATTTCAACAATTTCTAGTAGTGAGCCTTGGCCAAGAATGAGTGAATCTGCCATATTTTGGGGGGTTGATTTGCAAAAGTAACCCCTTGTGCCTATCTTCTTTCTCATTCTCAATATTGTAAGGATAGTTTTAGCATGAAGATGTATAATGCTTAAAGGAAACCATGATGAAATCTTAAGGGAGTTTAGAGCGTGCCTTAAGGTCCACCAAAGACACCTATGTATAGGCTCTAAATATTCAAAGCCTATTCATTAGTCTAAGTTCAAAAGAATTGAGTCTCCAAAACTTATAACAAAAAAAAAAAAAAAAAGAAAAAAAACTAAAGAGATTATATGCAATCATGTGAAAAAAATAGATAAACAAATAATAAATTCTAAAGAAAAAGCCTAGATGATGAGGGCATCCATGTTTTTAACAAATTAAAAAAATTGCTCTATATATATATACAATTGAGACTTGACTACTTTGCAACAAAATTGCACGTGAATAAGTCTCAAGGGGGCACTTGTAGACACTAAAAAATTATTGCCAATTAAAAAATGCCACGTGTTAATTTAGGTCTTGAAAATATAATATTATTTTTAACCTATTGAAATTATTTTGATGATGCCTATGGACCAATCACAAAATGACATGTGTCCTAATCACAATTCAAGATACATAGAGGCAAAGTCTTGTTCTCCAAGAAAGAATACACCAACCGATAGGATTAAAGCATTCCTATTACTTGTCAAATAAAAATAAAATTCTTATCCTAAATTTCTAAGGAAATAGTTGGTAGAGAAGTTCTAATTCTAAAAGAACTCCCTAATGTTCCTACCAATAGGATTAAAGCATTCCTATTACTTGTCAAATAAGAATAAAATTCTTATGCCAAATTACTAAGGGAATAGTTGATAGAAAAGTTCTAACCCTAAAAGAACTCCTCAAAACTGTGCCTATAAATAGGGTACCTCTTCAAGCTTTTCTACACACTTCAAAAGCAGAAAACCTTGAAATAAATTTCAAGGATTAAGCTCTCCGAAGATCTCTCATTAACAAGTAACAATTTGAAACCCTTGTTAAAAGGGATTTGAAGACCCTGTTACGAGGGATTTGAAATAACCTTATTGTAATATCCCAAAAATTTTGAAACCTTAAACTTTATGTTAGAGACTTATGTGGGAGAATTTATCATTTGCTAGGCCTAATGGCCAAAAATTTAAAACCTAAAGGGGGGAACTGCACAAAAAAAAAAAAAAAGAAGAAGAAAAGAGTATGGTATAAGCTCCCGACCCTTCTCTTTTTTTTAGGAACCCTAGGCTTAGCAATCACCATTTTTCTGCTCTTCGCCACCCTTCATCACCGATCTCACCACTCTAAACCTTTCTCTTCCATTTTCCAACTCCTTAAGCCGCAAACCATTGCCCCCACCTCATAGCAGCTGTGCATCATGTAATACCCCAAAATTTTGTGATATATTAGCATTAAGTTAAGGACTAAATTGTGGAAAAATGTTGTTTTGGGCTTAATAGCCAAAATTTCAATAGTTGAGGGACTTAAAGAGGGAAAATAATTTGGAGAAGGATGGCTTGTTTCTTTTTTTTTCCTTCTTTCTTTCTTCCTCATCCCATGTGCTTCTGCTCTTCTCGACCCCCTTGCAGCTGAACAAGAAGCCCAGCCCCGACGCACCTCCCCTTGAGAAAATCGGTAAGAAGCTTGGATTTTCGCCTTTATTTTCTTGTTCAAGAACAAGATTTAAGCTTGGAAATCCCTCCCCCCCTATGCAGAATCCCAGATCTGCTCTGCTCCTTCCTTCCTCACCGCCGGCTGCTCTTGATTGTGGGTGTGAATTTCTCTAACTTCTGGTAAGAAAACAACCATTAAATCCTCTTTTCTCACTTGAATTGGCTTGGGTTTACCTTAATCTCTCTTGGTTTCTCCAATTTTCGGTAGATTGCGTGATTTTTCTCCTGCACTTGCCGCCGGCTTTCCCCCAAACTGCAGTTCGGTTTTTTCTGGGAAAATTCTGGTATGTGGCAGCTCCTTTAAGTCCAAATTCCACCCATTTAATTGCTGAAATTTAGCCATCTAATTGCTGAATTTGTTGAAAAATAGGGATGAATTTGGGAAGTAATTAGAGCATAATTAAACTTAATTCATGTGTAAATTGCTTGAGTTGGTTGTGGTGATATTTGGAGAGAAATCCCGTGAGATTAGCTATGGTTTGTCAATTTTTGGAAGCGTAGTTACTGTTCACGGGTACTGTTTATTCACTGATGGCCAACAATTAACGAGGATTTAAATGTTTAGTTTGTAATATAAGAACAAATTTGGAACTGTCCGATCATGTGGAGATTGATAGAAATAGCACCGTGATTAGGGGTAGTGCTAATGATGATTTCACTTTGAAATTGTGGTAATGCGTATTAATTCTTGGATATTTTGATTAGGTTCCTGATCGTTCTGTCAGTTTAGCACTGAGATTAAGTCTTTGGTTTTATGCGATTTGAGGTAAGTAAATTTATGGTAATGCCCGTACAATTTCTAAAAGCATGTTTGGACTTGTTTTTTAAGTGGTGGCGGGACTAAACCCGTTTTATACAAAAATGAGCATGATTGATTTGAAATAAGATTATTATTCTTTTTATTGAATTGAGCATGCCTACTTGAAATTTAATTGATTGTCCTGATGATTTGAAAGTGATTGGTGAATTATGATTTTTCTGTTAACCTCTACCTGTTTTGTCTCCAATATGGTCATGTTATTCGTGTGCCCGCTAGTGGGAGGTTTATAAATGCTAGCACATGTCGACATGTTACTGATAGAACCAGTTCGTTTCTGTTATCCTGCTAGTGGGATTATACACTAGTAAATCGTGTGCCTGCCAGTGGGAGGTTTATAACACTGGCATGACCTATGGAGGAGACGTCTATTTCGTTTCCGTACTCATACCTGTTTTTCGTGATTATACTGGTTGGCATGTTATAAGTTTAATTAAGGGCTATCCATATTTACTTATTGAGTTTATCTCATAGTTTTTCCTTGTCCACCATTTCAGGAAGCGAAACCGAAGACGGGAAAACCACGAGAAGTGATGAGTTAGAAGGCTAGCCATTTCGAGATTGATATAGATTTTAGAAATAAATCATGCTTTTGTAAGATAGATTTTACCTTGAATTTATGAGATCAAAACAGATTTCGATCATTATATCAATTACTTGGATTTAAGTCATTTTGGATATAGAAATAAATTGAAATATTTGATTTAAGTTATTGGATTGTCAGATGTGAATTGGATAAGTTTCGAGCCTTGTGCATTTGTGAGACCCTCTCACGAGTGCATGGCGTTTGTTACACCTCAGATTTGGGTTCTGGGGCGTGACACATCATCTTCAACAGCTCATGGGTCTGTCCTTTCTTCTAGAAATCGCTGGTCTTCTCAATTCCTTACTGTCTTTGAAGCTTGGGTCTCCATTTCTAGGAAGACCCGCAGCCTCTCACTAGTAAATTGGTAAGATTGAGCACAAAAAATGACTTCCTTTCCTTAATTTCAGTAGACATAGTGTAAATTTTGACTGTGTAAATTGGGAAATTGTATGTGCTCTTTCTTGCTTCTAAGTTTACTACACTATTGAGGCTTGTTGTGGTTGTAATGTAGATTAATTGTCCCATTTTGCTCTAGGTGCAGAAAATTTTATTTCGAATGACTTGATTGTCGTGATTGGTTGATTATCTTGTGAATTCTTGTTGTCATGCTCGGCTTGTTGTAGTTTTCACATTTTAAACCTACTGTTTTGTTATGAAAATCCCCATTGTCATGGCTGCTTTTACTGCTGCATTTTGCTTAAATCTTGGCTGTTTTTGCTGCTGTTTTGCCTAGAAGAATTCTTCTGTTCTTGTCGTAAGTTTCTACTGTTTTAAACCATAAATAGCTTCTGTTTTTACTCAGAAAATCTTACTATTTTTGCCATAAAATTTACTAATTTCTTGTTGTTTTTCTACACAGTCTTAAACCAAAAAACTCTGCATTTTCCTACATTTTTCCTTACTGTTTTTTGCACTGTTTTAGCCCACAAAAATTCTACATTTGTACTGCATTTTCCCTGCTGTTTCTGCACTGTTACAACCCAGAAAAAATTTCTGCACTCTTCTGCATTTTTCCTTACTGTTTTTTACATTGTTTTTTTTTCCCCAGGATTTTCTACCATTTGCCAAGTTTTGCTGCTCCTTGCCGAAAATGTTTGGAAGGTCAGCTGTCATCTTTGGAAATTTATATATGACTATGTGTGTGAGTTACATATATATATATATACTAGTGAGGTTTTGGTGGGTAAAATGGCAAGAGGAGATAGGGAGAAATTGTTCCTTTGGGATAGAACTTGGTGCTAGAATTAAAGATCAATTTTAGTTGAATGAGGCATGTTGTGACCCTATTGTTCTTGATTATGAAATAGGTTCTAAGTCACCACCATCTCCTTGAAACCTTGAATACTTGCTGTTGTAAGCCTACAAGAAGAGGCAAGTGAAAGTATCGTAATGCCTTTGGATTTGAGGTAAAGGTTTTTGAAAGCATATTTCTGATGGTTTTTGAAATAGTGGCGGGACTAAACTCGTTTCACACAAACACGAGCATGATTGGTTTGAAAGGAAATTATTATCATTTTCATTGAGTTGAGCATGCCTACTTGGAGTTTACTTAACTGCCCTAATGATCTGAAAATTATTTGTAAATTATGATTTTCCTGTTAAATCCTGCCTGATTTTGTCTCCAATATGGTCATGTTTTACTGTGCCCGCTAATTGGAGGTTTATAAATGCTAGCACATGTGGACATGTATTCCTAGGAACCGGTTCATTCTGTATTCCTGCCAGTGGAATAATACACTGGTTACTACTGTGCCAGCCAGTGGGAGGTTTATAAATGCTGGCCATGACCTATAGATGAGATGTCTATTTCATTCTCGTACTTGTACCCTTTTTTTTTTTTCTTGATAAGTAATTACACTTGATGGCATGCTTAACTATAAATGAGGATAATCCATATTTTTATTTACTGAGTTATCTCATAGTTTTTCCTCATCCACTATTTCAAGTAGTGTGACCCAAGACGTGGGTAACCAAAGGGAGTGACGAGCTAAAAGGCTAATCATTGTATTTTGGATATAGATTTTGAGTTGTAGATTATTCTTTGTAAGCTTAGATTTTATTTTGAAATATTGATCTAAGTTTATGTGGATTGTTAGTAATAAATTTAGTAAGTTTCGAGCCTTATACATTTGTGGGATCTTCTCACAAGCGTACGTCGTCTGTTTTTGTCCTTGGATTTGGGTTCTAGGGCATGACACTTATTAAAGGGGAACTTGAAGAACAAAGATCGAAGAACAAACAACAAGTGAAACACGCAATATAAAAAGTGCTGATCACTTAAGGGAGTTTGATCTTATCTACAAAGAAATCAAAGACTTCACTTGTTCGAGAAAAAGTCAATAAAACCCTCGTACAAGAAGCCAAGATTGAAATATATTGTTCAAAGTGTCACGCCCCTGAACCCAAATTCGAGGACGTGGCAGACGCCGTGCACTCGTGAAAGGGTCCCACAAATGCACAAGGCTCGGAACTTATCATATCACAATCTGATATCACTCCACAACTTAAATCAAACATCTCAATTTATTTCTATATCCAAAATGACTTAAATCTAAGTAATTGATCTAATGATCGAAATCTGTTTTGATTTCATAAATTCAAGGTAAAATCTATCTTACAAAAGCATGATTTATTTCTAAAATCTATATCAATCTCGAAATGGCTAGCCTTCTAACTCGTCACTTCCCGTGGTTTCCCTGTCCTCGGTTTCGCTTCCTGAAATGGTGGACAAGAAAAAACTATGAGATAAACTCAGTAAGTAAAATATGGAGTGCCCCTTATTAAACTTATAGCATGCCAACAAGTGCAATCACGAAAAACGGATACAGTACAGGAACGAAATAGACGTCTCCTCTATAGATCATGGCCAGTGTTATAAACCTCCCACTAACAGGCACACGATTTACTAGTGTATAATCCCACTAGCAAGATAACAGAAACGAACCGGTTCTATCAGTAACATGTCGACATGTGCTAGCGTTTATAAACCGCCCACTAGCGGGCACAGTAAAACATGACCATATCGGAGACAAAACAGGCAGCAGTTAACAAGAAAATCATAATTCACAATCAATCTCAAATTTCATAAATAAACCAGAAAATTTCCATGCAGGCATGGATTTAACAAAAAAATCAGAATTCACAAAATTCTCAATTTATCAGGGCAGTGAAGTAAATTCCAAGTAGGCATGCTCAAATCAATAAAAAGAATAATAATTCCATTTCAAATCGATCAATACTTATGTAAAACGGGTTTAGTCCCGCCACCACTTCAAAAACAAGTCAAAACATGCTTTTAAAAACTGTACGAACATTACCATAAATTTACTTACCTTACTCACATAAAACCAAAAACTCGATCTCAGTACTAACTGACAGAACGATCGAGAACCTAATCAAAATATCCAAGAATTAATTCTATACTATCACAAATTCAAAGTGAAACTTCATTAGGACTATCCCCTAATCACGATGCTATTTCTATCAGTCTCCACATTATCAGATATCTCCAAATTTGTTCTTATATCACAAACTAATTGTCACGCCCCAAAACCCGAATTCGAGGCGTGATAGACGCCGTGCACTTGTGAGAAGGTCCCACAAATGCACAAGGCTCGAAACTTATCATACCACAATCTGATACCATCAAAATCTGAAGATCAAATTTTATAATTTGCTCTAATATCATAAATCTCCAATAAACGTCTAGTTTACAAGATCATGATTTATCTCTAAAATTTCATATCCAATTACAATGGCTAGCCTTCTAACTCGTCACTTCCCATGGTTTCCCCATCCTCGATTTCGCTTCCTGAAATGGTGGACAAGGAAAAACTATGAGATAAACTCAGTAAGTAAATATGGAGTGCCCCTTATTAAACTTATAGCATGCCAACAAGTATAATCAGAAAAACGGATACAGGTACGGGAACGAAATAGACGTCTCCTCCATAGGTCACGGCCAGTGTTATAAACCTCCCACCAGCAGGCTACAGAAATTACTAGTGTAAAATCCCACTAGCAGGATTACAGAAATACCAGTGTTTAATAACTCCCACTGGCAGGAGGAATCGGCCCTACAGAAATACATGTCGACATGTGCTAGCGTTTAACCCCCACTAGTAGGGTTATCAATAACATAACCACATTGGAGACAAAACAAGCAAAAGTTAACAGAAAATCATAATTCACCAATCACTTTCAAATCATCAGGACAATCAATTAAATTTCAAGTAGGCATGCTTGATGAGTTTAATTTTTATATGTATTTATCTACCCTTTTT